AATATAATATAATATAAAATAACATAATATAATATAATATAATATAACATAATATAAAAATATAATATAATATAATATAATATAATATAATATAATATAATATAACAACAAAAATATTATATTATAACAACAAAATATAATATGATATAATAATATAGCAATATAGCAACTTTCAAGTAAGTATTCCATTGAATTGAATTGAATTAATTATTTTCCTTTGGCTTAGTCCCTTAATTATATGATTAACACAGTGGAATGAACCAACAACTCTTCCAGCATATGTTTTACACAGCGGATACGCTTCCAGCTGCAACCCAGTGCCGGGAAACACCCATACACACTTATTCTCTCACACACACACACACACACACACTCATACACTACAACCAGTGTAGTTGATCAGTTCCCCTATAGCGCATGTGTTTGGACTGTGGGGGAAACCGGAGCACCCGGAGGAAACCCACACCAACATGGAGAGAACATGCAAACTCCACACTGAAACACCAACTGACCCAGCCAAGACTCAAACCAGTGACCTTTCTAACCACTGAGTCAATGTGACATGAATTATGTAATTAGATGACTTTTTTCAAGTTACTAGTCAACCTGAACACACACAAGGGTTAATGATGCAGTATTATCCTGACGGCAGTGTTTGATCAAGGTTTATATTCTTACCTGTGTAAAGAAGGGCTCGTAGATCTCCACACCTTTATCTGAGCCCTGAGAGAGCACGTCTCGTCCTCTGTGCCAGCTGTAGCGCACCGGCGGGTTGGAGTTAGCCACGCAGCGCAGAAACACCGTCCGCTCGTAGTAAAACTGCTCTTTCGCTTCGCCGATGCTCTGATGGACCGTCACTACCGGCTCGTCCAGATCTGAACACACACACACACACACACACACACACACACACACACACACACACACACACACACACACACACACACACACACACACACACACACACACACACACACACACACACACACACACAAATATTGACTTTATTCTTCATGTATGAGCGGAATCTTCTTGGTTGCATCAAAAAGCATCAAGCATTATCCAGCAGCACAATCAGCTGTTTTAACATAATAATCAATGAAAGCAAATGAGAGCGAACATCCCATCCTTCTAAAATAAAATAAAATAAAATAAAACTAAATGAAAAAAATTAAACAAATGCAAAATAAAATAAAAATAAATAAATAAATAAAAATTTAAAATAACAATAATTAAAAAATGCATTAAAATTAAATACAAAATAAAATAAAATAAGATAAAAATAAAATAAAGTAAAGTAAAATAAATTAAATTANATTAAAAAGGATAANATAAAATAAAGTAAAATAAAATAAAACAAAAATGAAATAAAAACAATTTTAATTAATTACAAAGTAGAATAAAATAAAAAATAAAAAATAAATAAAAATCTAATTAAATAAATAGTAAAATAAATAATAACATTTTACTAAATTAAAATTAAAATTTAAAAACATTAAATTAAATAAGTTAAATAAAAATATAAAATTAAATTAAATTAATTAAATTAAATAAAAATGTATATTCTATTTTAATGTCATTTATGTTTAAATTTAGAGAATTTATTTTGAATAATTATTTCCATACATCACCATAAACTAAAACTCTTAATCTATTGGGATTTTGATTAATCAGAACATATTTTTCTGTTCTAGCACATTTTCCCAATATAAAACAAAATCTTTTTAACTTGTCTTTGCATAAAAAAACTAAAATATGCCGTGTTTTTTTTAGAGATTTTTATATAACATTATTTTTTTATTGTGGAATAAAGATTTTCAATAACAAAAATAAAAACAATTGTCATTTTCTGCAAAAAACAAACTACTGAAAAATGACAATTTTATTAACGCTAATATAGAATAATCATATTAACTAATAATACAATTTTATTCAAACACATGTTTAATTCATGAATCCAAATACAAAGTACATCAAATGTTAGAAATAGTTGTTTTTAATAGCACACACATACTATAAATACAATGTGTGTCCGTGCATGTGTGTGTGTGTGTGCATATAACCCCATTACTGTACTCTACAAAACCTAAATCTATAACTGTCACTGAAAGTCACTCTGATGTCAAATGTTGTACAGAAACATTCACAGTCTGCTGTTTCCATTCAGGGTTTCTCATTTAACACAATAGTGACGTTAATTTTCCTTTCACATTGATTTCACTGAATCTAATGCATAATTCAACTGCAATTAATCACATTCGCCACATTGTTTCATTAATCAGATAAACGTGAATCACTCGACAACCCAAAACACACCGCAAATAAATATATTTACACACACACACACATCTGTAGACACACATACAGTATTAATAGTGAACTCATTCTCTATTTTAGTGCGTGTGCGTCTGCAAGATTAAAGGCAGGAATCTTCATTATGTCTGTAAATCTGACGTGTAAATCTGAGTTTCTGAAGCGTGACGCCTTAAGCTCCTCCAAATGCCACTTATTCTAAACGTGCTGTCATTTCACTGGCTAATTCCTGCTGTTAATGCTTTAAAGACAGAAGCATTAGCATAAGCGCTGGAGATCTGTGCGGGGAAATCTGATCAATTCATTATTAACTCTAATGGTTCTTCAGAGAAACGCTTGAACAGATATTCTGGATCCAAATGCTGATGATTACAAATGTGCCACTGATCACAACCAGATATTAAAATACAGTCAAATATAAACTAATCTGCTCTAATAAAAGCACCATCACCTGAGGAAAAACAATCTACCCTGCCTGACAGTAGTCTTGTGTCCTATCCAAGCTTTAGGAACAACAATAACTTGAATGTGTCTCATATGAAAGGTAAAGGCCTCTAGATTTTGCTGATTTGAGCTCAATAAATCTGATCATGTCTTGATGTTGACTGATTTGATGAGGACAGTGTGGTCTGACTCTGCTCAGACTAAAGTCTCATCACTGAACAGAAATAATGTCCAGTATAGAATATAAAGTCCTGCTGCAGTGGAGACAGAATGAATATTGTGTCTGACTCCATCATGAGCTTGGAGGACTGCATCCATACATCTCTGACACGACTCAGTTTTACTGGTGTAGACTAGGGATGCCACCAGGGCTTTACATGAACTTTTTTGATCACCAGCCACAGTGGCTATAGTTTTCCAACATTACTAGCCGCTCTGCATTTTCACTAGCCACAGTTTTGTTGTTGGGAAAATATATTTTATATGCATAAATATGACTTTGACATGCTAAAATAACTTGATTTAGAGTTTGTGTTCTGTCCTCATTCATTTCACGTGTTGTGTTTCGTGTATGAGCAAATAGGTCACGGTTTCATAGTGTTATACTGCAATTAGTTTTTATTTCACATCACTTTACAGAACTCAAAATTAAGGATTTACCTCATTTATCTCTGGCCACACCAAACAATAATTATTTCTTAGCCACAAATTTTAAATGTGTCAAAACAAGCAAAATATAGACCTTTTTCTTGGAACGCAAAATTACACATGATGCTTTGCGTGTATGCGCAAGGAGAATGCGAAGAACTTCCGGTCGGCAGCTGATGCGTGTAAACTAGGGATGGGAAGATTAACCGCTATGTATCGATACGCGGTCATGCGCGTGCACGATGCGAGTGCATCGGTTGAGCAGCAGAGGATGAATGAAATTTTGGAAGCAAATCGAGATGCATCGATTTTTCCGAGATACAGCTTATATTTTTAATATAGAATGTGTTTTTTATTTATTAACAAGTGTTGTCAACCTGTTTTTGGCGCATAATTTAATCGACCTACATAAAGTAAGCCTTAGCAACGGGCTTGCGGATGTGCACACACACTACAACTCAGTGTATCAGGTGTGCGGATGAAGCTAGTGGTGCGCCCTCAGAAAGCGCGAGAAGCAAAACAAACATTTTATTCCTCACTGAGTTTTAAATCTAAAGTATGGCAACATTATGGATTTAAGGATGGACGACATGACAGGACAGATGCAATTTGCAAAATGTGCCGCGCATCTGTAAAATACACGGGCAGTACGACTAATCTGAAATCTCACTTGAAGCAGCGCCACGGTGTTGTTGTGGAAGCATCTTCCAGTGTTTCTGCATCCCCGGCTTTCGCACTGCTTCAACCAGCTCCAAAAGTGGTGAGAAAAGCATTGCAAGTTTTTTTTCCATGCGCAACAGTTCTGCTCGCTCTACGCCAATAACGAATGCTATTGCATTGTTCATCTGCAAAGATATTCAGCCTAGTGTCACGGAGAACGAAGGGTTTAAACACCTCCTCCTGTTAATTTTTATTTAATAATAATAATAATAATAATATTAATAATAATAATGATAAAAATAATTGGGTGTCACGGTGGCACAGTGGGTAGTTTGACCACCTCACAGCAAGAAGATTGCTGGTTTGTTATATTTTTATCAGCCTGTTGTTTACAGTGACAGTGATGTTTGAAAGCAGCATAACACTGCTAGTTCACCACCTTAAGTTTTGAATAATCAGTGGCAATATATCTTTGTAAAACTTGTTTTCATAGTTGAAAAGTTAAATCACAATTCTTGTTGTGCAATGCTAAATTTATTTATGTTGAAAGAGTGCAAATATATATTTTTTTAATATATATTGCACTTATACATTCTGTTTATCTTGAAAATACTTAAATAATATGTGCTACATGTTCTAAAATGGCCCTTTACTGTAAACTGACACTCTGGCTCTGAGAGAAGAGCCAGTTTGTAAAAAAAAGTCTTGGTTTTGCTTGGTTAATAAATAATCAAACTCATTCAATGGCACAGCGTCCTCTTTCACATCATCTCATAAACTTGATCTAATAAGTTAGTGCTGAAATATCGCATCGTATCGTGATATGGGTGTGAATCGTATCGTGTTGCATCGCAATATGTCACAAATGTATCGCTAATATATCGGATCGTATTCTTTGTATCGAGATGCGTATCGGATCGGCATTATAGCTTAGATGCCCAACCCTAGTGTGAACAGTCACATTTGGACAGCTTTGAAACGCTAGTTTTAATCTATTTTACCTGCTTTTATCCTCTTTGAACTAATACTGTTGTCCATCAGCATCATCTCCTGGACTGATCACTTAAAGAAATGCGATCAAATGGCCCGTTTCCACTAAGTGGTACGGTACGGTACGGTTTGGTTTGGTACGCTTTTATTGCTGTTTCCACTGTCAAAAGGCGTACCGAACCAAACCGTACCGTACCACTTTTTCGGGACCCTTTTGAAAGGGTCCCAAAAGGTGGAGCTACACGCGCATGCTGAACGCTATTGGTTTACAGAGATACGTCATTCGTAGACTCAACAAGCCAGAATGTAAACAATTGTAAACATGGACCCGCCATGTTTGAAATACACAGCGAGAGATTACAGCGGAATTATAAATACATATGCAGACATGGTCGATCCTGCAAACAAACCCTGTCGTCGTCATGATAAACAGCCACAAAGCCATGGAGAAGAGCAGATTCACCCTGTGCCGCGTAGTTTTTAACGAGCCAGTCTGAAGCCCGAGTGGTTTCGCTTTCTTTCTTGCGCTCGCTGCACGACTCTATCTGAAATAACAAACTTCTTGATCTGATAATAATAACATGCACTTGATTATTGACAAGCTTTGGAAACCCGATCCTGTGAGAAGCTGACAAACGCGAGAGACACATTCAGAAAGAAAAGGACAAACGCGAGAGTGGAGCGCGGGAAAAAGGCGAAGCAAACGTGAACAAACTGCCTTGTTTGAATCTTTATTATCACCTTTTGGACTAATATGAACTGGGAATGATGGAGTGACTCTCTAACAGAGGCTTCATGTGCTGCTGAAGATTACAGACAC